AATCCCCAGACCTCTGCAGCTAAAGTTTTAAACGCACAAGACACAGTTACCGACTTAGTGGCTTACCTTCAGGCAGTGTCTAGACTGGGAAGTACGTACAACCTTAACGCAATTACACACAGGCTGTAAAACACTGAGTGTTTCGCTGCCTCCGCTTTAAAAGGGCAGAGAAAACTCTGGTGTTTCACCATGCACAGAGAGTTTCAAAAAGAGACCGAAAAAAGCATCTGGCAGCCTCCCCCCTCATCCCCCTCGCCCCCGCCCCTCTCACTCTCTGGTTGTTGGGGTTTTAAAGGAGTTGATGGAGGAAGATTTATCAAGTGCTGAGGATGCCTGGCCAGGACCTTGCTGTTTCTGGTGCTTCAGGACTGAGGAAGGACGAGCACGCCACAACAGCCCGTGCAACACGATGCAACCACACCAAAGCGCAGGTAAATCTACCCACTTTGAGCAAAGAATTGCTTTGCAACTGTCGCCAAAATCTGCTATATCCAATAGGCCTCCTCAGTGTTTAAGTATATTCCCCTCACCTACACTTCAAAAGTGGTCAAAAGGAAGAAAAACAACTGACGCTGTAAAATCAAACCTGACCCTGTACAAAGACAGCAAAGGAACTCACAGAATTAGCACCAAACTGGTGACAAAATGTATCTTGGCAGCCAGTTCTATGCATATAATTTTCTACAGTGCGTGGGCGATGGCTTTACTGCTCTGCAACGTGAGCCATACATCGCCATATCCACCACAAGAAGTCCAGCTCAATAGAGCTTTTATTTTCTTATTTTCTCACTTCTAACGATGTCATTATCTCCCAAGACATATTCAAGATACTTGGCACTGTTGCATACAATGTAAAATCGGAGGCATTTGCAAGAGTATCAGTGGAAAAACAGACAGACATAACCGCCATCATAGCGAGTGCGCAAAGGCTGAACCTGCAGATGGGAAACCTTCCTGGTGCTAAAAATTTTCACGTAGAAAGAAACAGCTTAAAGCTAAATTCCACAACTGCAAAAACTGCCACGTTCATGGACAACACCGCCATTAATCAGACACCCTCAGCAGAGGAGCTGGGCGATGGGCTGCTCATACGACCTCCCGGGAGGTCCTCAGCAGCACCCTCGGCTCTCGGGCACCCGGCACCCTCACCGGCACCGCAGAGCGGAGCGCTGTGCCCGTGCGGAGAGCTTCCCGGGAGAGCCGGGGCGCTGCCAGCATCGGGCACCCGGGCAGGTTCTGGTGGCAAAAACCTCCCTCATCCAGAGCTTCTCTGGAGATTTGAGGAGTTACTTCAATTTACACGTGGAGATCAGAAACTGCCTCAGCTCTGGGGGGACAAGGCAGCCGACGAACGGAGCAGAAGCCAGGGCAGGACTGCGCCCAGCCTGGAACACACGGACAGCAGCTCGGGGCTGGGAGCAACGCGTGCACCAACACGCGCCGACTTCTTGCCTGCGGACACCGCAGTTGGTGCCCAGTAAAAGCTGCTGGAGGAGGATCGTTACGTGTAAAACAGAGTCACGAAAGGCATACAATACTGAGCAGTAAGAATACTGGCGATACAAATCATGTACCTTAACAGAGCATAAAGACAACTATTATAATCATCCCAAGGCTCGTTAGCTTGTGTTACAGATTATATATATATATATATCTGTGTATGCACAGATACGACGATAGTCTAAGGATCTACTCCCATCTCTCCTCCAGATTAAAAAACAAAAAGAGCCACGGGCTCCAGCTGTCACAGGATTCATGGTCACTGTGGTGGTGTCACAGCGTTAAGTTTTCTGCGCTCTTCAGTAAAAAACCTACAGACCACCTAACGTGCTGCACGCGTGCCAATTTTGACAAGACGGCGGTTCAACCTGCTTGCAGTTCAAACCTTCACAGCGAATCCCGTCCGTACCAGAAGGAAACGGAGTGAGTTCTCTGCAGTGAAAAGGCCCCAATCTCTCTAGAATCATGCCTCTTACAGCCGAAGGGCTCACAAAATGAAATGTGCGCCATCCTTCTACATTCCTCTCAATGTCAATTTTGCCCACAGCTTTGAAGCACAAAACCACTTCCACTAGGTGCTACTATAAACAGGAAGACACATAACAGAGCATTTAACAAGCCATTTTATTCCTCCTGACAGTCCTTCTCCAGACTTTTATTGTTTTAAAATTCATTAATATAAACTCTTTTTTTCCTGTGCTTATTCCACGCACCTATCTGCATGATTTACATCGCTTTGTAGCCCAACTCAAACTTTACTTTTTCCCTTTCTAAACCCTCAAGTCCTTTGTCTTCAGTATATTCTCTACTGCATTTTTAATTTCTTAAAAATCTTGAACTTCTCCTTCAGAAGGATTAAATCAGTTTCCCCTCAGTGTTCAAAAAATTCAATTGCAATACGAGAATTTTCCCACACCTGTAAGAAACTCAAAGAAATGGGGACAAGGAAGAAAGATCAAACTGATGACAGAAGTGGAAAAAAAATTCCCCTTATAACAAACAACAGAACAGCAAAATGAGAAAAAAAGTGGAAAAAGTCACCCAGAGTATATGACCATGTAAGCATGGGCACTCTTGCAGAAAACCTAGTCAGCAATCCAAAGCCATGGGAAATTTAAATTAGAGCTAAGGTCCACAATAGCAGAGAAATCTGTACAGATAAAAGGGCCTGCTCAGGTTGCAGGTGTACTTAGTCTACATCTCTTCAGACTTGCAAAGGAACTTTATTAGTTTTATTAATTTTTTTTTCTTAAATAATCAAGAGATTTGAGTGTATCCACATTACACGGTAAAGAAGATTAAGTTTTTTTATTTAATCAAAATATCCATATGCATGTGCTGTATCTTCCAAATGGTGGGTGGATTCCCACTGCTTATTACCGCTCCAGGGTGCATTCTGCTATAGTAACTCATGCACAAAAACACTCCTACTATATTTAAGTAACGTTCAGGTTCTAGTAAACACAAGCAGGAAGAAAACCCCCGAAATTGCAAAAAAAAACCCCGAGGGGACAGCAGGTCGCAGTTCTGAGGAAAGCAAGCCGGTGAGGGGTTTCAGCGATGCATACACAAACACCGAACTGGGTGACATCAGCCTCCACTCACACGCGGCCGGCATGACCTGGCACCACTGCGTCGGTTTGTCCTTCTGAGGGGGAGCAAGCGTGCAGCCCCCAGCCCCCAGGCTCTGCTCGGGAGGGACGTGACTGGGGGCCACGGGCAGGGCTGCGGCCATCAGGGAACCAGCTGGTAATTCCACAAAGGCAGCACCCATCTCTGCGCAGACGTGAAATAAATAAAATACCTCTGCTCTGTGTGTGTATTGGTGTACTGCACATCGGGTAAACAGTCCCACTTTTGGGACAACACCAGGACATCACAT